TGACGTCAATGGCATGCGCTTATGACTTCATGGCGGGTTGGAAACTTGGCACAGTAGCATCGTCTATCTAGCCCCACTGCTCAGACAATAAGACAGTGTTCATACAGTATATATACTGTACTAGCACTATGTTCTTGCCAAAGTGCTCAGAAAGCCCCGCAAATTAGGAGCGCTGGTCCCGTGAGCCCGCGCTTTCCTCCTTTCCTCACTAGGCAGACAACGCGCTCAATGTCACTGGTCGCGCGTCGGCACTTTATGCGTGTGTGTTTCACGATCACCATTTTTCGTGCCTCCAACGGCCCCGGCCTCGACGTCCATAACGACCACGACACCGGGTCTCGGCTTACTCCATAGGTGCTCGTTTTGTCTTCGGCTCGGTCCCCTATCGTTGATGCTGCTGGATGGGGCGGTCTTTCTTACTCTCGTGAAGAGTGACGGTCGATCTAGCTCGCCACAATGTATGTTTCCCGCTTCATCCCCGTTACCGTACACTGTAGATTCTTCTTCCCATGCTGACACATATCCTCTCAGGTGTGCGTTCCTATACTCCACGCTGTTCGACTTCGCAGCTATCCACGATTGTGGCTAACATCCAGGCGTCGACCCCTAGCGAAGATCGAGAAGCTCGGAATCCGGGGGTGAGTGTCATTCTCTGCCTCCCACACGGCGCAGAACGACTTGCTAACAGCCCTTCAGCATCCGGTCCTTCAGTCCGGCCAGCCAAGAGTCTATGCTGTTTAACACGCCGCTGACTCTGATTGTCGGCTACAACGGTTCTGGAAAGACGGTGCGTTTGACGTGCACCCACGGCCGATGACGCCCATGGACGGCGATCGTCTCGCAGCCACTGCAAAATATCTACATCTATACTGACGCCCATAGACCATCATCGAGACTCTCAAGTATGCCACCACCGGCGAACAGCCGCCGAATAGCAAAGGCGGCGCCTTTATCCACGATCCCAAGGTCCGTTGCCGTCCCCTCCTTTCGGTGTACCTCTCGCGGCCAACAAACACGTTCTTATACATGTACTCGTTTTAGTTATGCGGCGAAAAAGAGGTCCTGGCACAGGTCCGCCTGTCCTTCCAGTCTACCGTCGGGCAGAAACTGGTTGTCACCCGCAGCCTGCAACTCACCATGAAAAAGACGCAGCGCTCCATGAAGACGCTCGACGGCTCGCTCGTCATCTACAACAACGGCGAGCGCACCGGCCTCTCCACCAAAGTCGGCGAACTCGACGAACTCGTGCCCAACTACCTCGGCGTCTCGTCCGCCATCCTCGACGCCGTCATATTTTGCCACCAGGACGAGTCGCTCTGGCCCATGAGCGAACCGGCCGCACTGAAGAAGCGCTTTGATGAGATTTTCGAGGCCATGAAGTACACCAAGGCCATCGACAACCTCAAGGTCGTCCGGAAGAAGCAGGGCGAGGAGCTGCAGAAGCTCAAGATGCTCGAGGCCACAAACAAGGAGGCCAAAGAAAAGGGCCAGCGTGCCGAGAAGCACCTGGCCTCCCTCCAAGCCCAGATCGAGGACCTACGCGAACAGGGCGAGGACTTGACTCGGCAGATGGACGACGTGCAGGCGGCCGCCAAAGAGCGCCGCGAACAGGCCACGTCCTTCTTTGGCATTGTGCAGGAGCTCAAGAGCAAGCAGGACCAGTTCGAGGTGCGCAGCGAGACCATGGCCGAGCTCAAGGAGAGCATCGTCAAAATGCGCACCGAGTCGGACGCGTGGCTCGACGAGCACCTTCAGCAGTACGAGGCGACCCTGGCGCGCCTCCAAAACGACAAGGAGGAACAGACGACTCGGTTCCGCCAGTTGCAGGCCGGCCTCACAACCTCGCGCAATGCGCTCGGCGCCCAGCAGGCCGAGCAGGGCAAGCACCAGTCGGACAAGGAAAAGTACGAGCGGCAGCTGCAGACCCGCATCGACATGATCCACGAGGCCGCCGCGCGCCACGAAATCCGCGGCTTCGAGAGCGACGACCTGCGCGACAGCCACATTCGGACGTTCCGGGAGCGCATCCAGAAGCTGTTGCAGGACAAGCGGCGCGATCTGGAGCGACTGCAGCGGGAGAACGCCAAGGAGCTGGAAAAGGACACGGCCGTCATCAGCGGGCTGGAAACGCGAAAGGCCACCCGCACACAGGACCGCGTCGCGGCCAAGCAGCGCATTGCCGTCATTGACAAGCGCATGGCCGTCCTGCAGCGCGACATCCAGAAACTGGACGTCGATGAGGGTGCCCAGGCGATCCTCGAATCGACGTACGCCGACCTGGAGGCCCGCCTGAAGCGGGCCACAGACGACGCGCACGCGGCCGGCATCGACGGGCAGATTGAGCAGGAGAACAACCAGATCTGGCAGCTCGAGAACGAGAGCGAAAAGCTGGGCCGCGAGATGGTCGAGTGTATGCGGCGCGCGTCGGACCGGGCCCAGCTCGACCTGCGGAAAAAGGAGGCCGTCGAGCGCAAACGCCGCTTGGACACTCTGACATCGACGTGGCGCGGCAAACTCGGTGCCATTGTCGGCCAGGGGTGGACCGCCGAGTCCGTGGATGCCGACTTCCAATCGGTCCTCCAGGGCCTCGTCACAACGGCCGGCGACGCGCGCAAACAGGTCGACGCCAGCCAGCAGGAGCTGAAGCAGGTCGAGTACAAGCTGTCCACGATCCGCGATCGGCAAAAGAAGACGGTCGCGCAGTCGGCCACGTGCCAGGCGACCGTGCTCGAGGTGCTCCGGGCGGTCAAGGCCGGCGGCGAGGAGGGTGCCAGCGCCGCGGAATCCGTGTCGATCGAAGAGTACCAAGAAGAGCTGGACAATCTGGAGTCGGAGATTCTCACGGCCGAGAAGGACATTAGTCTGTTTGATCATTTGAAGGACTACTATTCCAAGTCCCAAAAGGTCCTGAACCGCTTTAACAAGTGCTCGCATTGCGACCGGTCGTTTGCCGACCAGCCGCGGGAGCGCTCCAAGCTGCTTGAAAAGATTGCCAAGAACCTCGACGACAAGCAGAAGAAGGAGCTGGAGCAGGAAAAGGACATGCTCGAACAAAACCTGGGCCAGCTGCGCGCCGTCCGCACACAGTACGAGACCTATACACGCCTCGAGTCGGAGCTGCCCGGCCTGCGGGACGAGCTCAAGGCGGCCGAGGGGCAGCGCGATGCCCTGGTGCGCCGGCTCGAGGACCAGGACGCCTCGTTCAAGGAGGCCGACGAGAAACGGATGGACGTCGAGTCGATGGCCAAGACGGTGGCAAGCATCTCGCAGGCGGTCAAGGACGTTGCCGCGTCGGACGAGCAAATTGAGAAGCTAGCCTCGCAGCAGCAGTCGGCGGGCTCGTCCCGCAGCTCCGAGGAGATCCAGGAATTGCAGGCCACCTGCGCCGACCAGCTGCGTGCGGCCAAACAGCGCCTCGCCAAGCTGTCCGACGACCGGCAGCGCATGCGGGATGCCGTCAGCACGCTGGAGCTGGAGCGGAGCGAGCTGAAGAACAAGATTGCGCACGCAGCGCGGCAGGTCGAGCGGAAAGCGGACCTCGTCAACCAGATCCAGGCGTTCAAGGACGAGTCGACGCAGCAGCGCGAACTGATCCAGCAGACGGACCGCGACCTCGAGGCCCTCGAGCCCGAGATCGCCAAGGCGCGCACCATCCGGCAGGACACCGTGCAGCGGGGGCAAGACAAGGAGCGCGTGGGAGCCCAGGAGCGCGATGCGGTGGCGCACACGGTGAGCGAGCTCCGGATGGTCGAGAAGGACATTGACGACTACGTCGACCGCGGGGGGCCGGCGCAGCTTCTGACCAATGTGCGCGCCATTGCGACGCTGGAGCAGGCCATTGCTGGCCAGGAGCGTGAGGCGGACGAGCTGGCGGCACAGGTCAACAAGATGAAGGCGGAGATTGACAACAGCGACCGCGAAAAGAAGAACATTGCGGACAACCTGAGCTACCGGCGCAACTCGCGGCTGCTGAACGAGCTGCAGCGCGACATTCGGGACCTGGAGGCGCGCAATGCCGAGGACGACTACGACCGGCTGGTGGGGGAGGCCAAGCGGTTCGAGGTGCAGCACAGCAAGCTGCTGGCGGAGCGCAGCGCGATCTGGGGCAGCATGAAGACAAAGGACGAGGAGCTGCTGCGGCTGCTGGACGAGTACGAACAGGAGTACAAGGAGGCCGAGTTCCGCTACCGCGAGTCGCACATCCGCGTCGAGACGACCAAGGCGGCGATTGACGACCTGGGCCGCTACTCGGCGGCGCTCGACAAGGCCATTATGGAGTACCACGGCCTCAAGATGGAGGAGGTCAACCGCATCGCGGGCGAGCTGTGGCGCGCGACGTACCAGGGCACCGACATTGACACGATCCTGATCCGGTCCGACAACGAGACGGCGACGGGCAAGCGCAACTACAACTACCGCGTGTGCATGGTCAAGCAGGACACGGAGATGGACATGCGCGGGCGGTGCTCGGCGGGCCAAAAGGTGCTGGCGAGCATCATCATCCGGCTGGCGCTGGCCGAGTCGTTTGGCGTCAACTGCGGGCTGATTGCGCTGGACGAGCCGACGACGAACCTGGACAGCGACAACATCCGGTCGCTGGCGGTGGCGCTGCACGCCATCATCAAGGCGCGGCAGGCACAGGCCAACTTCCAGCTGATTGTGATTACGCACGACGAGGAGTTCCTGCGGCACATGCGCTGCTCGGACTTTTGCTACACCTTCTACCGCGTGTCGCGCGATGACCGGCAAAACAGCGTCATTACGCGGGAGCCCATTACGCGGTTGATGGAGGGATAGTTTGGCTGAGATCTCGGATGGTAGCGTGACATAAGGCACGGCGTTTTTTTTGGATTCTAGCGAGCTTTTGTTTTGACGTTCATTCATTTTCATTTTCATGGTCATATTCATACTGTACTCCATGATATACACTATGTACAGATATAATACAAGGCACTGTTTTGAGATTCTTTCGAGTATATAGGGCTTCGAAATGCCGCACCTCACTTCTTCATCGCCACAACGTGCCGCAGTGTGCCGAAGCTCAGGCAGTCGGCAATTCGCCGCGCACCCGCGAAGAGCATCACCAGCCGCTCGACGCCACAGCCCCAGCCGCCGGTTGGGGGCAGGCCGGACTCCAGAGCCGCAATGTAGTTATCGTCCACGGTGTTGTTGGATGCACCGGCCGTGTCCTCGACCTGCTGGGCCATTTTCCGGCGTTGCTCTGCCGGATCGTTCTCCTCTTCGTACATGTTGGCCAGCTCGCGGCCGTCGACAAACAGCTCGGCGCGGGCGGCGACCAGCTGGCCGGTTTGCGGGCAGACAAAGCTCTTGGCCAGGGGCGACATGCACGCCGGATGATGGGTAATGAAAAGGGGCCCGTCGAAGTTGGCAAACGAGCGCGGCTCCAGGTGGTCGCCAGCCAGGCGGTCCAGCAGCTTGGCAAGGCGGCCCCCGTCGGCATCGCTAGTATCCTGTTCGCCGCTGTTGTTGCCCAACTGTGCGCGTAGTTGGTCATAGGCATCGGGCGCCGACAGGTCGGGGAAGGTGATGCCCAGGGCGGCCTCGAGAGAGGGGATGAACTCGAGCTGCACAAAGGGACCGCCCGCTGCACAACGCGCAACAGAGTCCACCGATGCGCTCGAGACTGTGCCTACCGCGTCCGCATCCGCTTCTGCCTCGTCCCCCGCCTCAGTAGCGGACTGTAGGCCTGCGCCAGCCGGCGTCTCTTTGAACTGCAGCGCCGCCTGCGCCAGCTGGGCCATCAGCCGCTCCGTCTCGGCCATTAACCGGGGCAACGTCCAGTACGCAGCGTAAAACTCGCACGTGCTGAACTCGGGATTGTGTGTCGCATCGATGCCCTCGTTGCGGAAGGATGGGCCAATCTCAAACACTCGGTCGAGGCCGCCCACGACGAGTCGCTTCAGCCACAGCTCCGGGGCGATGCGCAGGCTGAGGGGGCGCGATCCCGCCGACGTTCCCGCCGAGGCAGCCGCACCGGCCTCGCCCTCGTCACCGGCCTGAGCATGGGCCGTCATAAACGGACGTGCTACGGCACCGCCCGACAGATCCGCGAGAATGGGCGTCTGCACCTCGACAAACTGCTGGTCCTCAAAAAAGGCGCGCATCTCGCGCAGAATGCGCGACCGAAGGCGCAGCGTGGCGGCCGCGGTAGGGTTGACGAGCAGATCAATGTGGCGACGCAGCGCCCGCTTTTCGGAGTCGAGCAAATGCGTCGGTAGCGGCGCCAGCGCGGGCGAGTACACGCGGGGCAGCGCATCGGCCGCCAGCGTGAGCTCGCCCGTGCCCGTGCGCATGGCACGGCCCGTCACGGCCACGTGGTCGCCGCGGTTCAGCAGGCGAGCGGCCTCTTTAAAGACTGCGGGTTCGACCGCTGTTGGCGAGTTGGCGTCTGCAGGCGTCCGCAGCTGGCGCAGATTGCACATAACCTGCACCTGCTCGCCTTCGTCCACCAGCTTGAGAAAGACCAGCTTCGCTCCGAGGCGCTGGACCGACAGCACGCGGCCAGAGAGCTCGACGCGCCGGCCCGGGACTTCGTCGCCGACAGCGACGGAATCAAATTCGGCGCGAAACTGCGGCACGGAAAGCCTGTCGCCGCGGGGCTGGTACCGAGGGTAATGCAGAGCATTGGCGTTGGCCAGCTCCTTGACACGCAGGGCTACCGCCGATCGGTCCTCGACGACACTGGAGTCAGAGAAAGCCTCGCTGCTGTCAGCTTTGGCCTTGTTACCGGCTTTGGAAGACGACAGCCTGGCGCCACACAGCCTCATTGTTTGTCCCCTTGGCGAGGAGCTCCTCTTCGGAGTGGCTTCTGTCAGGCCGCACGCAGTCTGGTAGAACCGCAGGTACGCCTTCTTGGCCGACGGCGAGCACGAGCGCGCTGCCGCGGACTGGATGTGCCGTGCCGCATACGGCCGGAGAAATAAGAGGCCCGGCAGGGCGGCAGAGACGGCGGCGCTCATGGCGGCAGGCAGCAACACGTCATGCCGTGCAAGCAACAGCCAGTCATCTTTTCGACGTGTTAGCAGGAACAACACTCGCCACAAGTTTGGGAAGACATGTGAGGCGGTGCAGGCAGTGTAACAAAAACTGGCAGCAGCAGGTCCAACTGTCAGAATATTGGCATTTGTGATCACGCCGCAAGCCGAAGCTGCAGTCAGTCGCAACGGTTCTAAGGTTTAATGCTGGTTCATCATAGTAGACGAGCTGCTGCCGCTCAGTTGGGTTTGGAAACGTGTAGATGGTGGAAGGGTATCTTACCAGAGAAAGGAGCGTGCTCAATGTGGTTGGGCGGCTGGTTTGTTGACGTTTGAGTTGGGAAGCTCAGGAGCTTGTGCTGTAGGAGAGAAAAATTTGGCAGGCAGGAAACATCGAGACGGCAAGGACCCACATCTATCAAATCGACCAATGACGGTCCATCTTACCCATCATGCACAAGTGCTCCACAAAATGGTCATATCGACGAATCAGATACCAGAGTCTGACTGGAGCGTCGGGAAAAGGCCTAAAAAACGTCACTGGTTTTTCAAGATCCAACGACACAACAAAGTAGCACACACGACCTCCCACGACGACCGCCTGACGACCGACCACGATCGCTTTGCCTTTCGGCCATTTCATACACAGAATATTGTCCCTAAAACACCCGCCACAACCGCCATCATGTCGTTCTTTGGTATGGGCCGCCCGCAGCTCTCGTCGGCCGAGAAGATTGCGGCCGTCGAGGCCGAGATGAAGATGATGTCCGACATGCACAACCGGTACGTACTGGACAGGCAGTGACAGGCTGTGGAACACGAACATGTGTGCTCAAATATACTAACCCTTCCCAGCCTTATCAAGGCCTGTGCCGCCAAGTGCGTGCCCACCGACTACCGCGAGAGCGAGCTCAACAAGGGCGAGAGCGTCTGCCTGGACCGCTGCGCGGCCAAGTTCTTTGCCGTGCACATGAACGTGTCGGAGCACATGCAGCAGGAGGCGGCAAAGCGCAATGCCGGCGGCGGCGGCGGTATGTTCTAAGGAGATGAACGGTTATGAAATTTCCAAAATAACAAAAGAAAACCACGAGAAAATGGGCCACATGAAAAAACGACCCAACGATGAGGGCGATGATGACGACGCCATCTGTACATTAGAACACACACACATTTCTCCTCTACTTCCATTCCTTTCTTTCGGGTCATAGGGTTGTGCAACACGGACGGGGTACGCGGCGAGCGATAGACATGGAAACAGACGAACAATATGGGTATCCAAGCAGGCATATACTTTTGGCGCAAAGAACAAGTAAGATATGACACGGCCAGCATGGCCCCAGGATACGAATGAAAACGAATAGAATGCGCCATAAATATTGCGTACGAGTACGCCCATGTACATAAGAAAACTGGTGGAAATGAGAGCTGTCAAGCAAATGTAAGAAACGCCGTCGCTATCGCAAATGCTGTGCCGTGTATGTGCTTCAAGTCTGCTCTCACATGCTTGTCCAACAACTCCTGGCGTTCCCTCTCTTACCCCTCTCCCCCGTCGCCTACTGCCGACGGGGGCCGGCTTCGACAATGTTGGGCCCTGTGCCAATACCTGTCAGGCTGCGCACCGCCCAGTGCAGCCAGCTCTCCGTCTCCAGGTGGCGCTTGAGCTCCTCGGCCCGCCGTTCCACGTGTTCGACCTGCTGCGTAAACTGCCGCACGCCTTCCTCGACGTCTTGCACCTTGGACGCCAGCGACCCGATCTCGTACTCGACCTTGGCCATGAGCATCTCGACCTCGCGCACGGCTTCGGTCGTCTGCGCGCGCTCGATCCCCAAGAGGTCCTGGCTGTTGGCCTGGACGTGCTCGTAGGCGCCCGACAGCTGGAAGAAGACGCTCTGGACCTCTTCGATCTGCGTCTCGTACACGGCGTCGAGCGACTCGAGGGCCAGCACGCGGTCGACGACAACGGGGCCCACAACGTCCTTGAGTGCCAGAACATCCTGGTAGAGCCCCCGCTCCAGCGTCTGGGCCGTCACGAACCGGGACGACGCCGCGAGCAGGATCGCCTGGTCGTGGCTCTCGCCGGCCACGCTCCCAAGCCCACCCTCTTCGCTATTCTTGTCGTCTTGGCCGTCTTTGCTGTCTTCACCGTCCCCATCGTCCTCGTCACCGACCTCGGGGAAGTCGACAATCTCGTCCCAGCCAAGCACGGCCTCTTCGGCAGCGCTGAATGACAGCCGCCGTGGCCATACGACCTCAAAGGGCAGCTTTTGTGGAAGCTGTTGCTGCTGTTCTTCTCGCTGGAGTGGCTGTTGCAGCATGTCTCGGCTGCATTCGCCGCCCGCTATACTGTGTCGACGGAGCAGGCCGACGACGCCCGGGCCCACATCGCGTTCGGCCTCGAGAATGGGGCCCTCCAGGTCGGAGCCGCCCGCCACGCTGCCCGCCACTGACGTGTTGGCTGTGGAGATGGCCATGTCCTTGCGCAGATGGCTGGCACGGCCGTTGGCCTGCGTGGAATACCCGGGAAGTCTTGCTGCCAACTGGGTCTCGAAGGCCGCCGTGGCGGCGGCTGCGATGGCGTCTGCGTCAGGATTCGGTCCTTGGGTGCTGTGTATTGTGCCGGGCATGCCAGCGTTGCGAAACAGCTTTTCGCCCATCTCGCGCTCCCTCTGAATGTTTCGGAGATACTCCTCCGGCTTGTTCTTCCACGTAAATGCACGGCCCACCATCGCGGGGCTGTTAAGCGAAGCCTGTGCTAGGCCAGAAATGCCTGGATAGGCCATCGCGGAACCCGGGGCCATGGACGAGCCAGCACTTGACAATGCCGCCGAGGACGGGTCGGGGCTGAGAACACCACCCCCGCTGCCAAGCACACCGCCATCGTCGCGTGAGGGCCTGCTTGCATGGCCACGCAAGCCACCGCCGACAGCGTCGCGAATGCGTCCCAGTCCTGATCTTGCATCGTTCACTCGGCCTGCGACGCTTTTGAAAACGGTCCGCTTGCGCGGGTCCCGGTCGCCGTCCCTATACTTTTCCCTGTCTCGATCGTTCGGGCTGTCATAGACACTAACAGCAGACCCGGGTGGGACCGCCGAATAAACGGGCGTCTTTGTGTCCTTTTTTAAGAGAGCTACGTCGGCAGGTTCCGTCGTTGCACCAGTGGTCGCACTTGTCGTAAGAGCCTCGCCGATGGGCGGTTCCTCGCTGTCCAGGGGGACGGACTGCGCTCGTCGGCTGCTACCAATGGCCGCCGGGGTTGCTGGCTCTTCTCTGTTGAGCTCGGACGCTGGGGCCGCTGATGCAGGCGTCGCTGTAGCCGTCCCTTGTGCCCTGTCTTGGAAATGGTCCGCCAAGCCACCCAGTGGCAGGGTCGACGTCTGTGACCGGCGTGGCTTGCCGAACCACAGCCACTTGGGCCTCTCGCCGTAGATGTGGCTGATGAACTTGTCAATGTCCAGCGTCTCGATGTCGCCAATGTTCCCCTTGTCCTTGCCGCCCACCATGCCAAACACAAGCTCGCCGCGTTTTCCGCCGAACCCTTCGACCGTCGACTTGATTGCCTTTTGCACGCCCCAGCCGCCCTCGCCCGCGGCTGCCTTGGTCGTGACGCTGTGCAGACGCCGCAGTGTCTGGTGGTCCAGCCGCCGCGTCCGCTCCAGTTTCAGGTCCTTTTGAAAGGACCCGATGCCCTTCTTCATATTGTCCACGTCAAAGACGTCCTTGGACACGGATGCACCATACCACGCCAGCCGGCTGCGCGCGCCCATCAGCATGCCCAGAAGCGCCGCCACGGTCGTAGGGCCCAGGATGCCGTCGGTCGGCTCTGCATTGTAGTACTCGGCGCCCACCTCGGTCCACCAGTCGCCCACGGCCGTCTCCGTCACGTCACACAGCAGGCCGTCAATGTACTGCGACTCGAGCATGCCAAAGATGAAAAGCGCCGTCTGGCACTGCTTGATGAGCTCCACGACAGACTCGGAAAACGGAATCTTCTCGCTGGTCTTGTAGAGCGACTGGAACTTTTCCTGCGTGGCGCGCGTCGGTTCCGAGAGTGTCAGACCGGAGCGGCCCGAGCAGCCCAGCCGCTTCAGGTCCTCGTTGACAATGAAGTCCTGGCGATGCCTGCGGATGTCGCCGTCGCGAACAGCAATCACGGTCAGCGCCGACGGGAAGCTGCTGAGGTTCGTGGCCATAATCTCGCCAAACGGAGAGTCCTTGGGCCGCGCGTGGTACTGCTGCATCGTCTTGAAGTACATCTTGAGGCGGGCCGACCACTCGTTCTCGTTCGCGGGGATGGAGAGCACGCCGACGACGACGGCATGATTCGGGTCGCCCGTGTAGGTGGCAATCACAATGGTCGGCGACTGGCGCGAACACACCCACTGCTCGACGAGGTACAGCTCGTAGCCGACGAGGCTGGCGCGGCGGTCGACCACACTGATGCAGGGGTCTTGTTCGAGATACCGGAAGGACACAGGGTCCGGGGTCACCACATGCCGCCGATTGGGCGCGGGGGCCGACGAGGCCATGCCGGTAGTCTCCACTCTTGTCGGCATAATGGCTGACAGGGAGGTCAAGTTGTGCTGGTCGAAGTTGCTGTTGCTGCTGTACGGGTAGGTGTCGTCAACGATGCCGGGCCGCGCGTGTCTCTGCCGGGCAGCCATGATCTCCTCCTCGCGCTCGCGGTGACCACGGCTGTCCGGCTGGACCATCGGCATACCGAACCGAAACGACATGGTTGTATGTAGCGCGTCTGTCTATATGTGTCGCGTCGATCAACAGTAAGAAGCCGAAGTCGTCTGTCGTCGAGGCGGCCGGGGATCGTCAGAGCTGCAGCGGTCGATGGAGCCTAGCTCTCTGCATCGTCGACAGTGCACCGGCGCTTCTAGTAGTCTCGCATTCAGGCGGGGTGTGTTCCCAGGTCCAGTTCGAGGAGCGTCGTCGATAGGAGACTGCACATTGGATGTATTGGTTGGAACAGCTCGACGGTGTAGTTTGTGTTGTGTTGGTTCGAGAGGACGGAGGCCAGGGAGAAGGAAGGACCAGGAGGTTAATTATGACGAAAGAGTCCAGGCTGCGGTTGAACGGAGCAATAACGCCCGGTATTAGGCCTGTGCTACAGGGGGTTTAGCGCATTTTAACACGTTCAGCACCACGGCGCAACCCCACCAGCGTTCCGCCTTGGTTTCTCCTTAGCGACAGTTTCGCATGTGACTTGGCAAATTGAATGGCTGCAATTATTGGCATGTGCCCCACATCGTGCTTGAGCTGGAGACGGAAGGAGCGATACAGAAAAAAACTACGGATAAGAAAAAAAAGTTGAGCTTCGTCGATATCACGGTGAGCATAGAGAAGAGCATAAGCAGTCGGCAAGAAAGCGACCAAAGGCGAAAAGTCGGGAAGTGAACGGCATATTTAAAAGTACATTCAAAAGTACATTGACCTTCCTTTTTCATATATGTATTGCGCGACGGCACTCCTTCCAAATTGAAGCCACACTGGCTTGATTTTTTCGACAGGCCACGAACAGGAAAGAGCGAATCGATCAACAGGGGAAGGTGCATTCGATCAGCAACGTCCTTACCAGTCGCGACCGGGAACACCTCCGAGACGCCTCCTAATAGCCTCTCGCCACAAACTTCCGTCATGCTCTCCGAAGACTTTTTTGCCGCCGTCTGCGGCCCGCCATTGACCAGCAACACGGCCATTGCGCGCGACGTCAACATCTACCACCAGACACTCAGCCCTGCCCACTCCGTCCAGGCCACCTTCAAGAAAAGCGCCACGCCCGTCGGCGGCCTCGCCGTCAGCACAGCTCACGTCTTTGCCGCGCAGCAAGACCGCGCGTATGTGCACGTCTACTCGCGGCTGCGCGGCGGCCAGGAGACGTTTGTGCCCATGCCGGACAAGGTGCGGTGTGTGACGCTCGCGGGTGACGACCAGGGTGTCCTGGTGGCCGGCACAGTCGAGGGTCGACTCATTCTGTGGGAGACGCGGACAGGGCGGCTGGTGACGACGCCGCCATGCCACGTGCAGGCGGTGACGACCCTGGCCTCGACACCATACCACATTCTGTCAGGCTCCGACGACTCCAATGTTCACGTCTGGTCGCTACCGCAACTTCTGGCGTTGGGGGGCAAGGAGGGCGAAGGGGCGGACGAGGCAGAGCCGGAGCGGACGTTGGCGCGGCACCGGGCCGCAGTCACGAGCCTAGCGGTGGGCGGCAGCAGCGGCCATCGTGACACGAACCTGTGCGTGTCGGCGAGCCGCGACAAGACGCTTGTGCTGTGGAACTACCAGACGGGTGTGGCCCTGCGCACGCTCCTGTTACCGGCGGTGCCGCTGTGCGTAGTGCTGGACCCTGTGGCACGAGCGCTCTACGTGTCCACGGACGACGAGTCGACATCGGGTGCCTCCGCCAGTGGTGGCTCGCTGTTTGCCGTTGAGCTGTTTGGCGACCGGCCACTGCTGGGGGGGCGCGCCGCCGAGGCGTCGTCGACGGCTGTGTCCGTGTCGACGCCGTTCGGCACAGTACCGAGCGACGCCGGCCCGGCATCGTGCCTGACGGTGAGCTACGACGGTGCCACGCTGCTGTCGGGCCATCCCAAGGGCCGTATCATGCAGTGGAACCTGGGCGATGCGGGTGAGGAGAAGACAACCCTGCCGGTGGAGCTGTCCAACCTCAACGCAGCCGTGACCAACGTGATGTTTGTCCCGCCAGCATTGCCTTCGGCTGCGTCTGTGGTGCCGCCGCAGACGAGCATCCAGACTGTAGTCAAGCCGTCGCAGATGGGTCGCGATTACACCGTGACGGCGCGGTTCGACGAGGTGGCTTTGGATGGCCTGAGTGGCGACGCCGACGAAGACGTGGCTGCACAGGAGACGGCTGCTTTTGACGCGCTCATCAATCAGCCCGGGTTCCCAGCCGACACATTGGACAAGGCCATCCTTGCCTTCCAGCAGCAGCTGGGCGAAGGCGCTGGCAGTGGCAGTGGTGCCATCAGCAGCAGCCGCAAGCCGGCCCCTGCAGAAACGACAATTTCGAACAGCGACGCCGCCGAGGCCGACCTCCGGCGGCAGAACGCGGAGCTGCTGGAAATTGTCAACGAGCAGCAGGCGCTCTACCAAGAGGCCATCCAGCGCTATACCGAGCTCAAGGCCTCCCGGTCATGAGCATCTACAAGATCCATGGCGATGCAAAAAGGTGTGCCTCACACAGCCACATAGCCTCACATCGTTTCTCCTATCCGTACATCCGAGTCGGGGAAACAAACCGGGGAAATCGGAGAAATATTGCTTCCAAAGCATCTCAAAGCAGCACAGAAACACGACACAAGGTTCAATTCTTCAAATCTTACCATCGACCCCCCGTTTGAACACAATCTCTCTGTTGGTAGGTGACAGAAATGGGAGCTGCAGCCGCGTTCCTTCTCTCATTTGGTCAAGAACGGCCTCAACCGTTTTCACCTGATTATTCAAACAATCTGGATTCTGTTCTTTACGACATCCTTTCTGTGCTTTTTTCTGAAATTGTCGACATTCAACAGCTTACGTTTCTATTCTGGTGGGGCCTAGCCCTGAGGCGGTTTCAGAATGGAGCGGGCCGGGGTTGCAGGAACAGGCGAAGAAGCAAGAACACGCAGAAGCGGCCGCAGAAATCGAAAAATCGAAAACTACGGAATATTACCAAACGCTATGCAGAACCCCTGTGCCTGAACGCACGGCCCCGAACGGCATTTAAGACGACAGGAATGCAACACTTTAAACTGGAAAGCGACAGCACAGGCCAGAAGACGAAAAGGATAGAAACACTGCTACCCAGTCAGCTGCGGCAAAACGCCTTTGCATACGAATGCATACAAGTGTATACGATGCAGACCCTCTTATCTACTGCGATGCGAACGACATAATCAGAGCAGTATTTTAACTCCACGCGGCCGCTGTTTCTATTTTTGTAGGCCCCCTGTCGCCGTCACCCTTGCCGCCCAACACAAATCGCGTACCCTGCTTCAGATTTCGACTCGCTGAAGATGAAGTATACCCCGTTGGACGCCAACGAGCACTCACATTGGCAGAGAAACAATGACAGGCCCGAGCATTGAATATAAAAGTGTCACAGGTAGTGGGAATTCAAGGAAGAATTCAAGGGACATAAAGGATAGACCAGGCTCAGACTTTCAGGCGGAAATAAGCTGCAAACAACATCGAAAAGAAAACTACATTCCATCCAGCCACAAAAACAATCTATTTGAAAAGAACGACATGCATCGCACGAAGTTCACTGTAGATGCGAGCCAAGGCAAACCCTATGCACGTTATCTGCTCATATTGCGCATGATAGACCGCCTTGTCGCTCAAGAAAACGCGGCTCGGGCTGAGTTTGATGCGCCGCATCGCCAAAATGCAACCTTCTTTTCCCTCCTCTGTCTGTGCTTCGTCTCTCTCTTTCCGTGTCTCTCTCTCTCGTCTTCTCTTCCTGGCCCTCTGCTCCGAGTTTTGTGCTCGTTCCTCCAGTTCTCTTCCATCTGTCGATCTCTCTTCATCCATTTTGCCTCGTGCCATCGGTTTGTGCCTTTTGTGCCTTTTTTGGTCATTCTTGTCTGTTAATTTGCCCCCGGCCCCTTACCTCCGTCTTCCGTTCGCCGGCTTCGACTCTCCGGCCTCAGCCAAGGGTCTTTGGCTGCGTTGTCTCTGTTGCTTTTGTTGCCATCAGGCGTTTCTTCCTCATCACCCACGCTGCACATCTCGAACATCCTGTGCATCCATCATCTATCCAGAACCGATATTTCCTTGTTTTCTTCATCCTCCCAGCCTCCTTTATCTTGGCAAAATGGCCCATTCTAGATCGTACCGAGCGTGACCTTATTTGTGTAAAAAATTCACAACATGGAGATCAGATACTTTGTGCTTCGCAGTGAGCACAGTGACGCCTCCGTTTCCTCTCCGATATCTATTATCATTCTATTCTTCACCGTAGATGTTGCAGCCGCGTTTTCTTATCATTTTCTCCCAGCGCGATGAAACCCGTTTCACAACGCCCAAGAAAGAAAGTGGACACACGTCTGCCCGGGAGAACGTCTTCCAAGTGGCTCTCTCGCCTCGAGCCAATTGCCAATTCGTACCACCCATTCTCAAGCCAATGTCTATATCCATGCTCGTTATTTCTTTTCTTTCTCTTTTTTTCTTGGTCTTCCGGGTGGGGGCAGTGCCGGCATCGTGCACAGGCGCCGCGACCCTCTTCCAAACAAAGGCGAGCGGAGGATCTCAAACACTCCCCCCAGAGATTGCTCATGATAGGAGACGTCCTTACATGAGGCGTAGCCAAGACGAACGTAGCAAGCACGGTGCAGTGTGCAGTGTGCCGTAGCTGTAAGAAGTAGATATGCTTGTCGCATAGAGAAGATCCACCTTTGAACATCATAAGCCCATGTCACCACCATGGGATGGCTGCATGTGGACGAGGTTTCCTCATTCGTCTTATTTTCCGTTCCTTTCTTCCTTTTGTTTACCTCTCTCTTCTTCTTCCTTTCCTTTTTTGGCTTTCTTCCCTTCTCTCTCTTTGAATCTATTTCTTTCTGTTCTCTTTTTCGTTCTCGTCGTCGCCATTCGCTGTGGCTTTTGTTTGTTTTCTTACCTTCTTCCCTTCTTTCTTTAACATTCTCTCTTTTCCTTTCCTTCGTTCCTTTCTCTTCGTTCCTTTTCTTCTCTTTTCTCCTTTCGTTTATCATATTGGGAC